TGTGGAAAAGAACCTGCCCAAAGACATATTGCCATGGAAACAAAAAGGTGTCAAGGGAAAAGTCATTACAGCGGGCTAGCTAGTTGTTGAACATGGAGTGTTTGTGTAAGTGTGTGTGTTTGTAAGACTTTATTTATGCATGTGTGTGAGACTATATATTTATGTATGTGTGTGAGACTATATATTTATGTATGTGTGTGAGACTACATTTATGCATGTGTGTGAGACTACCCTTTGCAACATCCAGATGAACCTATTGCAACATCCACTCTATTACTACTAAAACAGTTGTAACACACAGACACTTGAAACAGGCACTTATTACTACTGCAACATGTTTGGACTACTATTGAAACACTTAAAACAAGCACTTAACACTTTATGAAATGAAGAAATGACCAAAATAAAAGTTAGAGATCTTGACGAGTTATACAACTTTTATATTCATCACCTTTACAGCTGAAATCATTTAGTGGTTGAAAATCAGGTTTGAAGTTGTCATTTTCTGAAATTCAAAATTTGAATTGTCCAAACTTAGTGACAAAGATAGATGACCAGACTAAAATGATAGAGCATGATTTTAGAAACTTTTAGGAAAAAAACCATCACATTTGGAGTTAGTATGAGAGAGAAAAACTAGTTACAAGTTTCAGCCACAGATTAAAAAGAGAAATCACACTTGTTCATCATTGATCATCATGAACAGTTGTGATTTTTCTTTTTAATCTCTAGGTAAAATTTATAACTAGTCTTTCTCCATCATACTAACTCCAAATGTGATGATTTTTTTCCTAAAATTTTCTAAAATCATGCCCTATCAAGTTATTGTGTTGATTTGGTCATTCTTTTCGTTTGACAAAGTTTGGGCAATTCAAATTTTCAAATTTAAAAAAATGACAAGTTCTAACAAGATTTTGAAACACCAAATGATTTCCGCTGAAAAAATGATAAATACCAAAGATGTATAACTCATCAAGATCTACAACTTTTATTTTGGTTATTTCTTCATCTGACGAAGCTGGAGAAGAGGAACAGACACCACCATCATCTAGGCCCCGGTGGCTACTATGCTAAGAAAGAGCAGTTTAGGAAGATGGACGAAGAGGCCACAGCTTCTGGGAATATCGATGTGAAGAATTTGAAGGTACGCTCAAGGAATTGGATATATGCGAGGAGTACAGAATCATCCGGCGGTAATCTTAAGTTTGATAAGCCGGAGACCCAAGAGGCAGTATCAAGGATACTGAAATATGCTGAAGACAAGGAGAATGGCTCATTCAATCCTTCTAGAGAGAGGGACGAGCTTAGCCTTGGCTTGGGAAACAACGAGCACATAGGCCGCATCAGGGGGCTAGGGAAAAGGACGATCTGGAAGCACAGATTCAAAGAGGATAGGCACATGTACAAGAAACATGGCAGAGACCGGGAGGCCAATCTTGAGCTCCAAGTGAAGGCTCTAGCTACGAAGGCGCTAGAGGAGCAAGGACTATCTACGGAGCCATAGACATTAATGGTGCCGCTAGGAGAACTGGCATTAGTTGGCAGCCCTCCGAAAGTTCCTAGCAGCCAAGGTTCCACTGCAGCCACAACCCCCGTCGATCGCATACGGGAACCAACTAGTTGCACCTTGGTGTTTCTCAGCGGCCTGCAGAACATTGTGATAGAGGTGGCAATGGGTGTGGCACATCCTCCCGGTGGCTTACACCACAATAATAAGATACTGCCGGACTACACTAGGGTTGAGGTGCATACCGTGAAGCCCGAGTTCAATGCAGTGGAGGATAGACTACGCAACTCCTGAGGGGCTGGTGTTACTCAGAGACATAATGGAGCAGTTCATCCTCTAGAACAAATGGGACATTATATTGACTGCTTCTTCGCCGCCTCCCCCTCTCTCAAATTTGGAGTGAGTTGTTGAGGACGGGGAGATATTTTCATCGTCTTGTGACCACCACATTTCTGAGATGCCACATTCTTCCCCGCCTCCAAGCGAGCATGTGCCTAATAAGCCACAACCTTCTCCAACTCATACCGAGCAAGTGCATGATGAGATGACATAGACTTCTCAACAAGCACAGCCGATACATGAACAACGAGTGCCTCCTGAAGAAGGTGATGCATAAGAAGATGAGGACGTGCCTGAATGGGAACTTCGAAAGAAGCATCCAATCACCATAAGGCCAATTTATATTCCGATGAAAGACGTCTCGTCAGTGGACAAGTGGTATGCCCATGACCAGTTCAAACCTAAGAACCAAGTTAAAAAGTTCCAACACAGGCTTCTAAGGAGGCCGTCACTAGCAAAGTCCACAAAACAGCAAAGAAGTATCCAAATGTTGACGCCATCAAATGGTCAAATGATTGCCCAAAAACATATGAAAGAGGCAAGCCCTTTCTACCAAACTGGGACATCCAGCGTCTACCACTTGGAAATAAGCAGGTTCCATGATTGGTACTTATGTGTTCTCCTAACGAGCATAGACCTCGTACAAGCATGCTTCCCCGCCGGCACATTTAGAAACCCAGCCGAAAAAATTATCTTTGACTTCAATGACATGCAGACATGCTTTCACCTCGGAGCAATGGAAATAAATCTAATTCGCACGTGGTGCCTGTAAGTCCTTGCCCACCCGATATGATATGAATATAATCTTTGGATTTTGTTGTAACTAACCCATGCCGTGATTTGTAGAATGCAAGTGCACATTGTAAAATAAATGCCAAGTGTGAAAACCGGGTATATAGACCCTCAAGTTATAGCACAAACAAATTTTAATTACCCTAGACAATGAAAACTGGATGTCAAAGAGCTAACTGCTGGAAAGACTCTTCGGGAGAAAGAGGACATCCGTGCGAAGAAACTAAGGCAAGAGTCCCTTATGGTTTCGGCATACATTGCCCTAGCTTTTAAAAATCTCCAACAGCACTCTACTATATGGCTACCATACAACTTCGAGTAAGTTCAACTCTATACTTAAATCTTTGTTCGATATATTTTATTCAATGCAAAAGAGCTTATCTAGTTCTATAATTAAATTCATGCAGCAACCACTGTATTTATATAGGCGTCGATGTCGAGAAGAGCATGGCATGGGTCTTTGATTCAATAGATAGGGACCCGGTGACATACAAAGACTTCATATCGATTCTCAAGACGTATACATATCGACAATCCTCATTAGCTTATATGTTTGTATACATACTTGTAACGTTCACTTTTGGATACTAACAAATTGCATTTGCTAAAATAATTCGAACAGGGCATTCAGGTTCTATGTCAATGAACATCATGGAAGACATGATCCAGTAAGAAAGGAAAGGCTGGCTATAAAAATACTATGTGCGTAAGTGTAACTTACTTTAGTACTCTATTACATGGCTGTCAAAAGTATTACTTAACATTTTCATATGCAAAACACACAGTGCCCCAAGCAGAAGCCTAGGAGTGTATATTGTGGATACTATGTATGTTATATGATGAGTAACACCGGTGTCTACAGGAGACACCCCTTAAAGGTAAGTTTGAACCTCTTCACCTGTAGTATAAAAACTTCGTACATGATATGAAATACTAAACCGAAACTTGTTCTCTTGTAGTGAAAAGAAGAGAAAGAAATAAAAAAGAGACCTATACAAGGATGACCAACTCTTAGAGCTCGTCGGTAACCTTTGCAACTTTATATTGGATCAGATTGTACACGTCAAAGGCACCTACCATGACCAAGATTCTGACTTAGGTAGAAATCCTCAGTACCAACACCTTCGTGAGACTGAAAGGCTAGCTCTAGGTCGTTGATAACAATGTGTATGAAATTTGACATTGGTCTTACCTTGTGGGACGGTTTGAACTTGTGGAACGAATTAGACTTGTGAATTATGTCTATTTAACGATGAATTGTATATATTCTTGTGAATTGGACTTGTAATGGTAGTTTATATAATGCTCTTGTGCTTGTGGTCAGATTTGAATTATATATGTTCTATTCAGATTTAAATTATATATGCACACACACATATATATATGTGTGTGTTCTGGTCAAATTTGAATTGTAAATTTGAATTTTTTTTGCGAAAAAATATACTGTATGGGCGGTTATAGTCTGAACCGCCCCTACAAACAGATATTATAGGGGCGGTTGGTACTACAGCCGCCCCTACAAATCAATTTGTAGGAGCCGCTGATAACACCAGCCGCCTCTACGAATCGATTTGTAAGGGCGGTCTGGAAACTATTCCTACAAATATATGATTTATAGAGATGGTACGATAGAAGCGGCTGGTCGAGTCGCCTCTACGAAGCCTTATCACCCGTCCCAAAAACCATTCATGTAGTAGTGATTCTACAGGTTTTCTTTCAATCATTTTTCTCTTCCTATATCATCAACGTGGCATGTACGGGGCCTAGCATACAGGGGTCGTTCGCTGGTCTGGAAAGACCAGCCAGTCGGCTGCTCCCCTCATAATTTATTGTTCATTAAACCAGTCGAACAGTGTTTTTCTCTCACAACAAACCAGCTGAAACAGTATTTTTCAGTTAAGTTTTAGACCAGCGAACGGGGCACAATATATTAGAGTTTCTATTTGCTACGACTGTTCTACTATAATCTATGTTCCAGGAGCAGCTGTCGTTGCAGTTCAACGAAGTGGTCAAAGGCGGTGACTAAGCCGCCATTTTTTTTTCTTGAAAAGGGAGCCGCCATGTTTGGTAGCAGCCAAAAGGTAGGCATGCCGTTTGCGTATTCTCTTCGCACCCGGCCTGTGCACACAGCGGCGGTCGAGTCAAACAAACATCACAAACGCCACCACTCGCATCACCCATGCGCTCCATGCCAAATTGCCAACAAATTCAGTATTCAATTTGTCAACGTGGCGGGTATGCAGGTGCAGTAATGATGCACCCGCCCGCTCCTTATATAAGACGAAACAAGCATCAGCCCCATCTCATCTTGTTGTCATCTATTCATCTCGTTTGATACGACCCACAGCAGAGCTTAGCAATTATGGTTATGGGCGGTGCGCTGTTCCCATGGCTGGCATGGTTGCTCGTCTCCCTCGCCGGCATCTACCTCCTCGGCCATCTCGTGCACGGCCGTCGTCGTGGTCTACCGCCGGGACCGCACCCACTGCCCGTCATCGGCAGTCTCCACCTCCTCGGTAACCAGCCGCACCGTTCCCTCGCCAGGCTCGCCAAGGTCCACGGCCCGCTCATGTCCCTCCGCCTGGGCGCGGTGACCACGGTCGTCGCCTCCTCCCCGGCCGCCGCCCGGGAGATCCTGCAGCGGCACGACGCCATCTTCAGCAACAGGTCCGTGCCGGACGCCCCCATGGCTTGCATGGCTGCTTGTCGCCCTCGTCGGCGCCTACCTCCTCGTCCTCGCGCACGACCGTCGGCGTGGCCTACCTCCGGGACCCCACCCGCTGCCCGTCATCGGCAGCCTCCACCTGCTCGGCGACCAGCCGCACCGCTCCTTCGCCAGGCTCGCCAAGATCCACGGCCCGCTCATGTCCCTCCGCCTGGGCGCGGTGACCACCGTGGTGGCCTCCTCCCCGGCCGTCGCCCGGGAGTTCATGCAGAGGCACGACGCCGTCTTAAGCAACAGGACCATTCCAGACGCTCTAGGCGACCATGCCAAGAACTCGATGATTTGGCTGCCCAACAACCCGCGCTGGCGAGCGCTGCGGAAGATCATGGCCACCGACCTGTTCGCGCCGCACAGGCTGGACGCGCTCCAGCACCTCCGGCGCGAGAAGGTGCAGGAGCTCGTGGACCACGTCGGGCGGTTGGCGCGCAGGGGCCAGGCCGTGAACGTCGGCCGCGTGGCGTTCATCACCAGCCTGAACCTCTTGTCGCGTACCATGTTCTCACACGACCTGACGAGCCTCGACGACGACGACGGCGCGTCCAGGGAGTTCCAGGAAGTGGTGACGGACATCATGGAGGCCGTGGGCAGCCCGAACGTCTCCGACTTCTTCCCGCCGCTTGCGGCCGCCGACCTGCAGGGCTGGCGGCGGCGTTTGGCAAAGCTGTTCGCGCAGAAGCACCGGGTCTTCGATGAAGAGATCGACGGGAGGTTGCGTAGCCGCGAGGCTGGTGTGCCCAAGAAGAACGACTTCCTCGACCTGCTGCTGGACGCCGCGGAGGACGACGACAACACGGCGAAGCTGGATCGCGACACACTCCGTTCGCTCTTCACGGTAAACCGTAGTCATCAAAGATTTTTAAGTCCATAAATAATCATTGGGAAAGTTCGCGGTTTTCTCCGATCGCTAGGTCTGTCCGTCGTTGACCACTTGACCGTCTGATCCCCACTGATTTAGCTATGTGTTTTTTTTTTTTGTCGCTGACAAGCTGTCCCACATGTCTGCTCTCATTTCATTTCCTCTCGACAGCCAGTGGCGGATCTAGAAAAATAAGCTAGGAGGGATCTATCTCATAATCTTTCATCTCTAGCCTCTCCATCTAACCTTGAATCGATGCAAATTTGTATGAGGGGCTCCATGGTCCGAGCAACGGTAGCGGGGCTCGAGCCCACCCCGCCCCTGTGCTAGATCTGCCCCTGTTGAGAGCAGCGACTATTAAGGTTTTGTTGTGCTCCCTTTAACCTGTTCTTCGTTGATTCCCGCTTGATCTCCCTTCTTTGCTCTGCTTGCTTTAGTACCTGTTTTATTAGGTTTGCATTTTGGGGCACTAATGTGACATTTTTTCGATGATTGATTCCTCGCAATTCTTGAGTGATTCATATGGTGTGTTCATAGTTTGGATTGTGTTTTGGTGATTATTATACAGCTGGATTGTGTTTTGATTTGCGTACTACAGGCTTCGGATGTTCTTTGGTGATTTGGCCAATTCGGGGCTTCAACGGATTTTATTTTATATTTCACTTTCATATTTTGGTGATTAGGTAGCTTGTTGTGTTTTGGTGATGATATGATAATTTTGAAAATGAGCCCCCACCCAACACCTACACACCCAGTTTGTAGTGTGTCATGTTTAGGGGTTATGACTGTTTTGCTTCCTAGTTACTAGCCTTTTATTATTTAGGGTTGCTTCAAGAGCTATGACTTATAGTTTAGACCTCATCCATGGTTAGCAGCTTATTATGTTTTGGGTCCATTACAAGGATTTTGACGATCACTTGTACGTCTCCTCGTTTCGTAACTTGTTGTCTTTTAAGGTCGCCGTAATAGTTATGACAATGTTTTGCCCTTTAGTTGATAGCTTTGTTGTGTTCTAGGGTCCCTATGCGGGTTGTCATCAAACTTGAAATTTGGAATCAGAATCATATATAATGATGTCTAAGCTATAAGATTGCAGAGGCACCATGCATATAAAGTGTAGGTTTCGCAAAAACAAAAATGTAGGGTTGTGGAGCACCATAAATGTTGGTTCGATCTTAAAGGTACACGACATGACAATGGATTAAAGAATTTCATAGAATTGCATGCATTTCTTGTTTAGCGTATGTAAAATATCAAATGATTGTGTATCATTAACATTTTTCCTCTATATTTTTAGGATTTGTTTTCTGCTGGGAGTGACACAAGTTCTAGCACAGTGGAATGGGCAATGGCGGAGTTGCTTCAAAACCCAACTTCAATGACTGAAGCTTGCGATGAGCTTGCTACAGTTATTGGCTCAAGAAGAAACATTGAAGAATCTGATATTGGTCGGTTGCCCTATCTTCAAGCTGTGGTAAAAGAAACATTTAGACTACATCCATCTGTCCCACTGCAACCACGACGTGCTCCGGTCGATACAAAAATAATGGGGTACACCATTCCTAAAGGTTGCCGTATGTTCATAAATGTATGGGCAGTTGGTCGAGACAAAGAAACATGACCCGAACCTGAGAAGTTTATGCCCGAGCGATTTTTGGGAAACACGGTTGATCTAAGAGGTGGGCGTCGGATCTGCCCTGGAATGCCATTGGCAATTAGGATGGTGCATCTGCTTCTTGGATCGTTGTTAAATCAATTCACATGGAGGCTTCCAGCTGAGTTTGAAGGAAAAGGAGTTGGCATGGATGAAAATTTTGGCCTGACCTTAATCAAGGCTGTGCCTCTTTGCGCTATGGCTACACCAATATGACTTAGTAAGCCATTGTACCGCAAAGAATTGTATGGTTGTCCTTGTGTTGTTTGATGTATATATGGGATTTAAACTTGTTGATCATGTGTAGTATTAATACATTGGACAAATAAAATAAAGAATAAAGTGGTGCAATGGATTATTTGGCCATGAGAGGGAAAAACAATAAGGACTTTACCATGGTCTAGCAGGTGTTATCCTCTTCACCCGAACACTCCCTCAACTTTATCCCATTTTTGCTTCACATGATGTACAACATCGTCTTTGACCGCCGCATGGCTAGCCACCGCATTATTTTACTCTAAGAGCATCTCCAACAACACCCCTACTAGACCCCATATTCCTAATTTGGGTAATGGAGGCCAAAAAACCAACTCCAACAACCCCTCCAACTAGACCTCCTAGACTTATTGGCCTCCTATTTCTCCCCTCCCACTACCTATTTCTATTGCCCCCCTACTCTGGACTACCCAAATTTTTCTTTCTCCACAACTGCTCCGATACGCCCATGACATTCCTTCCCCGTCCGGCCTACACTGACAGCTTCCCTGGTAGTGAGGCCCTGTCTGGACTTCCCTTTCCTGGTGGCGCGGCCTTGCCCGGCGGCCTTCCCCGGCGACCTGCCATCTCCTCTGACCAACGGCGCCTCCCCATCCCTCCCAGGTGTGGCGGTGCTGCCCCGGTGGTTCCCGTGGCCAAAGGTCCCCGGCGCGGTGGCCTGTCCCGGTGGCTCCCACGAGCGAGCTCACCGGTGGCTCTATGGGCGGAGGTCGCCGACACGAGCTCCCCAGCGCAGCGGGCCTATCCACGTCACGACAGTGCTGCACCTGGCGTGGTGGTGCTTCATCTGGCCCTTCCCAGCGCGGCAATGCTCAATCTCTGTTCCATCCATGGCGAGAAGAACAGGAGAGAGGATGACATGTGAGACCCACATGTCATCCTCAACTAGAATGAGTTTGGGTGGTCTGTTTTAGGTAGTACTGTTGGAGTTGGAAGCAAAAAAAGGTAGTATTGAAATAGGTGGCTACCCAAACAGACAAGTAGAGGGTTTGATCTGGGTAGCATTGTTGGACATGCTCTAAGGCGTTACGCCGCTGCTTGACTATGGTTGCAAGCGACCTCATCTACTCTCATCCTTAATCTTCACCCAACACAAATCTCTTTGGATCTCAACAACCAATGCCTCCAATATGGGCGTGTTTGGGACAGCTCCACCGGCTCTAGATCCACCAAAACAACTCCACTGCATGAAAAGTTACCCAAACGCTTTAGCTCCACCAAAACCAGATTTACCATAACGGTGGATCTGGGGCCAGATTCACTATTTTGGTGGACCTTCTCAAGGGGTGCTCCACCAAACTCAAGTTGCTAGAGTTGGGGAAAATGACCCACCATTGCCGCCTGTTACAAAAGAAAATAGTCCGTTTTTTCTTCTTGATCGTGTTATTTTCCTCTTCCTCATGACAACACACCATCGCGAAGACCCACGCTGACCGCACCAAATCCCACCGGCCCGCCCACGCTGGCCGCCCATGACCCCGGCGAGGCCGCACCCTAGGATGCCGTCATGCACGAAGGTGAGCTGCAACGCCCAGGAGCAAAGCAGGCGGGTGCAGGAGTACTTGACAATGGTGGTGCTGGCGCGGAACGAGTAGGGCTGGGAGTTCTACGCGGCGACATGAAGCCTCATCGCACCTTGCATCTCACTGCCGCGACCGTGGCCGCCGGTCCACCGGCGCATGTGGCCAGCAGGCCCCGACTCACCCTCGGCGAGGCCGCACCCGCCCCAGCCGTGGCCACTGTCCTCCGTGGCCAGCCGCGTTGTGCCCACCATGGCCGCCATCCGTCAGTTGCACCCCCATGCTCGCACCCGATAACGAAGAAGACCAAAGATTTTTTTTTTCATTTAGCCCCCTCACACATGGGGCCCTGTCCCAAGGGCAAATCAGGCCTTTCCAAATAAAATACCCTTGCGTGGATCTAGAGCTGGTTGTGTAGCCAAACGGTTCCAAGGTGGATCTCAGATCCACTAATGAAGCTGCTCCACGGTAAATCTTAGATTCAGATTTACTTTTTTCAGGAGTGAAGCTTTCTCACACAGTCCCTATCTAACCACCATCTTCCACCACATCATAGGGCGGTGCCCCCGTTGCCCACCTCCAGCTCTGGTTTGACGACCCTTTAGAATTGTAGGCCATGGAAATCCTATAGTCCTGAATCCTAAGAGGTTGGGAAAAAATTATTTGACACTTAAAGATGACTTGGTTCCTTACATGAATCTAAAATAAAACTTTCTCTATTTGAAATTGGCTTTATTTTTTGTGTCAATTTGACACTATCATTAGTTTTTGTATCTAACGGTGTTTACGGCCAACAAAATTATCATTTTCACCTGATGTCTTGTGCATCACCTTTAAATTTTGCAGCAGCAGCAGGTTATGGTGGATTTATTGTGTTCCATATTTTTTATGGTGATATTTTTGGACAGAACCAGTTTAACCAATTCATGTTGTGATCTATTAGATTGAAGTTGAAACATGTGAAAATAGCAATAAAATGGCAAATGAATTCCCATATGTCATTCTAGTGTCACATAGTGCTCTCGTAGTTACAAAGAGTTTGCACTACAAAAATTCAAAATCAAAATGACAGTCTGCAAAAATTATTCATAGTCAGCTCAGTCCGTTAAAGAGAGACATGCCACTCTAAATTAATTTGAGAGACGTGCAATTTTTGGCTGTCTCCGTAAAATAAAATAACAGCCTCCAAAAATTATCAGGTGTTTTAAAGGACATACATTTTGTTAACCACCTCTGATAATAAAAAATAGTTGTCTCCTAAAATTAATTTTGTAGTAGTATTACTATCTGTCTAGAAAAAAGCTAAAATATCTTATAATTTAAAATGGGGATTAGGTCCAATTCTATGAATCGAATATCGTAAAAAAACACAAACCTTATGAAGAAAACAAAAACCATTCAAGATGGCGGGATCGGTGCATTGTTGTGGCGAATTATCCGATGTGCACAATCTGGTCAGAATCTGGTGACGTTGGACACAAGTCCCCATCTGCGTTAGTAACAACCTTATGCTATTCTATCGCAGCCTTTATAAAGATTATATCCAACTAGCCGATGCTATTCTGCCGTAGTCTGCAACTGACCAAGAGTTTGAGCCCCTCGTAGGAGCATGCGGCTGAGCCCCCGCCTCGTTTTCCATTCATAAGGGAGAGGGAGAGGGAAAGGGAATAGGCCTCGCTAGAGAGAGGTGTGCTACGTGACATCTTCCTCTGCCTACCGAGCGATGTTGACTCCGTCAATTTTCAGCACGTGTGTGTCGATGTTTCACCACCGATAGCCTGCCACGGGGGTACCGTGGCAGTATTGTTCGGGCTTCGGCGTATGCTGAACTCGATGGTAAACGCAAGAGACAGTCGATTTATCCTGGTTCAGGCCCTCGATCGTAGATCGAGTAACGACCCTACTTCCAGTCGGCGTTGGCCTTTTGCGTTGGATTGATTATGAAGTGTTATGTTGTACAATTGTCCTCTCTTTCAGGAGCCTTGCCCTCCTTTATATTGTCAGGAGGCCAGAGTCCTAGTCGGTTTACAATGAGATTTCCTAGTAGGATTACTTAATAGTTCTACTATTAAGATTACATGGGAAGAATCCTAGTTGAACTAGATCTTTTATCTCTCTTGCGGGGTATCCTGTGGGTCCCGCATCGACAAAAGCCCCGAGCACTTCATGGTTGAGCTCGAAAGTCTCGCTTTGCTCCTTCAGGTCTTGTTAGGTAGGAACAAAATGTTATCCGAGTGTGCTTTACGGGTGAAACCTTGTAGCGCTTCTTGGGACCTTCGAGTGGTGAGTGTTTTGTGAAGAAAAAGTACATCCATCTGGGTTGTAGCCCCGAGCCTCTTGCTATTTGGAACAAGGAGCTGGAGGATCTTTTCTTGAAGTTGCTCGATTGTTCGCTGAAGTTTTGTCAAAAGAACTCGAATATGGCTCTGCTCGGGTTCTTTTTGTCGCAATGTCTTGAAGTGGTCTGCGTTGAGGAAGTCTTTTTGTTGACATGCGCTTTTTGAAGAAAAGTGCACTCACCGAGTGTAGCCCCGAGCCTCTTGCTATTTGGAACAAAAAGTTGGAGGGTCTTGATCCTTTATGTTGTTTGAAAATTTGTGTTCGAAGTAGTCCCGAGACTTGAATTATGTCATCATTCGAGTAGTTTTTGTGGCATCTTTCCGGAAGCGGCCCTTTAGTCTTGGATTAAACCATCATCCGAGTAGTTTGCATGCATGCGACCTCCGAGCCTATGTCAGGGTTCTTTTTGGGTGGGTGCAATTTTTCATAAAATTGCACTCATCGAAAGTGTAGCCCTCGAGCCTTTTGCTTTTGCTTGCAAAAGTTGGAGGGTCCAGATTCTTGTCTTCAAAAAAATCTGGGGCTATGTATCCCGCAGCCTCGTGCTTTCTCCGAGTTCTTCTCTTTTAGAAAAGAAGTCGGATGAAGAGTCTTGATGTGTCGTCGTCGTTGTAGTCTTGAGTTTCTTGTACTCTTTGTCTTTTGTCTTTGGTTCTGAGCCCCCGAGCGTATATCCGTGTTGTTTTGTTCAGGAAGAACTCGGATGCGAGGTCTTGGCGTATTCTTTGATAGTCTGCTGCTATCAGATGTAGTTGTATGGTGGTGGTTGGCTGTCGATGTTTCACCACCGATAGCCTGCCACGGGGGTACCGTGGCAGTATTGTTCGGGCTTCGGCGTATGCTGAACTCGATGGTAAACGCAAGAGACAGTCGATTTATCCTGGTT